CTCCCCGTCCCTGCTGGCCAAAATCAACGTCCGCCACCTCCCAGGAGCCTCCCGGGACTAAGTTTCCTCAACCCCAATGTGGAATTTGATGGCTATTAAACTTTGTCATCAATGAACATTTGTCTCTTCCACGAACGCATGAAGTCCCTGAGAGCCAGGCCTGCCCAGCACCTCCCCAGACTTTGCCCAAATGCGAGGGCAAATACACGAATGAACGAACGAATGATTAGCAAAGTAAAAGCTGGACGCAGGGCTGCCAAAGATGTTGAAACTGAAATTTCCATAGCGTCTCTCACAAAGAACTTACATCAGTCCTGAAGGTGTTACATAACCCACCCAGACGACAGATTATCCACGATGTCCCCACGCTGGGGGGGAAGCCGAGAAAAGAGGGCCAAGGTCAAGAGGTGTCCGCAACCAGGAAAGTGAGCCAGCCCGGAGCGGGGTGCCTGCCTGGTCCTGAGGACCACACATAGACCGGCTCTCTAGAGAAACTGCTGACGGCTTCTGAAGGCGAATCAGGGGCAGGGCCACCGAGAGACAGCACCGCTGTAGGTCTGCTCTGCCAGGGGACCTCTCCCACTGCAAGTCCCGGTCCTGCTTGTCCCACAGCAACTAGAGAACACCTCATGGTTTTAAAGCCACTATTCATTCAGCACTTTGTGCTCTGTGGGTTGTGTTGGGAGTCAGATTATCTTAAGTGAATCTGAGAGGGTGAGGAAATCTGTTCATCAGAGTCCACCAAGAAAACAGGAAAACTCAGAATTTTTAAAAGATCAGTGTCAAGTGTTAGCTCTGACAGGACTATCTCAGAGCCTTTGCTGGGAGCCTGGGGGAGAACAGGAAAGCCAGTTACAACGTAACCAGGCATGGTGGTTCATGCCTGTAAACCCAGCATCCTAGGAGGCTGAGGCAGGAAAATTGCAAGTTTGAGCCCAGCGGGGCAACTTAGGCTCTTAGTGAGATCCTGTCTCAAGTTAAAAGATTCAGGGCTGTGGGGATTTAGCTCAATGGTGCGCCACTGCCTGCCTCACAAGCGGAAGGACCTGAGTTCAATCCCGGTACCCCCCCTCCAAAAAAAAAGAAAGAGAGAGATAAAAAATCTAAAAGGTGCTGGGATGTAGGTCAGTGTGAAGGCCCTGGGTTCAATCCCCAGTGCTGCAGGCGTTTGGGGGAAAGGAAAGAAAGAAAAAGAAAGTAAGAAAGAGTGTTGGGGCTGATAGCAACCTTCACCAGTCACATGACCACATTTGGAAGCCTTCAAAACCAACCACCCATGGAGCCTTCTTGTCTACCTCAACCTCTCCTTATTTGAAATATGACCTTCCTGTGTTTGTTATTTACATTTTACAACAGTCTAGAACCGAGAACACATAAAATAACAGCACTGGCAGCTAAGAAAGCAGCCAAACCCAGGTCCCACACTGATAACAAGATGTGGAAACAGATTGGAACTGGATAAAGAAGATATTACCAGAGCTGGGCGTGGTGGCGCACACCTATAATCCCAGCCCTCAGGAGGCTGAGGCAGGAGGATCTGCTGTGAGTTCGAGACCAGCCTGGGTTACATAGTGAGTTCCAGGTCAGTCTCAATGACATAGTGAGACCCTGTCTCAAAAAACCAAAAAAAAAAAAAAAAGATGCTACCCACACAGTAAAATCAGTGACATTCTGGGAAGGAGAAAAGTGCTCAAGGTTTAGAATTGGTCATGGAGTCCCTAGTGAGGCAGTGGGGTTTCAATTGAATCCCACAAGTTCTCAGCTGAACCCAGGGCTACAATGCCACCGCCTTTCCCACCCTCTCTCACCGGCTGGGCCTCCTTGGATGGGCACTGGGCACCACCATGCTGGCCGTAGTGACCCCTAGAGCCCATGAGGCTGCAGATGGTGCGGCTGTGACCCTCGGCGTATTTGCTGCCCACGCCAAGGGCAAACGGGAAGATTCTCTTGGGAAGCAGGCTCCCGTCCCCATCCAGCGGCCCGGCCTTCCGGCTGCGCAGGGTGGCCACCAGCCTCCACAGGGAGGAGTCCGAGAACTCCTCGAAACACCTCTTCAAGCTGGGGTGCCTCTGGATCTGGACGCAGAATGAGGACGCCGTGAGTGCCGCTCCCTCCCCCAGGCAGCCGGGCTGGCATGGTGGCCCCCCTTTTGTGACATCCTCCACCACCCACCCCGGCTGCGAAAATTCCCTGCTGTGAGACCAGGATAAGTTGGAAGAGAAAAGCAGGGCTGCTCCCGGGAAGGCAGAGGAGGTCCACTGGCTACTGTGAGGCCACTGGGAGAGGGGCTGCATGCTGGTGACGGGCGAGGCACAGGCCCCAGGGTCCCATCTGTAACAAACTCTTTCTCAAGGGCGGGGAACCCCACGCTCAGAACTGGGGACACGCCCATGCCGAGAGCCTCGAAGAGGAAGAGGAGGGGTTTCCAGCACTGTAGGGCCTCAGCCCGCACGAGGAGGCGTCCAGGGCAGTGGGACACCGGGCTGAGCTCCTCTGCTGCACGAGTGGTATAAACTATATTGCAACAAACACTCGTCTCTTCTGCTGTTTGTCTGGCATTTCTGGGTGGGCTTTGTTTGGCCAAGTAGGTAATTATCCCTCGTGATGGAACTGATACTACCAATTCGATTGCTTTGGGACCCGCCAGGAGGTTGGTGGAGTGCATCTGTGTCTGTGTCTGGGTGGGTCACACCGGCGTGGCCTTGGGGCCTGGACCCTTGCTGTCCCGTGCTGTTCTCCTGCTCCGCTTGCGGCTCCCTGATCTAACAGCTTTGCCCTGCCCCTGCCTTGCGCTATGACGGATCCTGCCTGGGAGAAACTGACCACGGGCTGACCCGCTTCATACGCGAGACAACTTAAACCTCTCCTCCTTCAGTGGCGCGTGGGTGTCCACTACAGCAGAGCTGACCGGTACTTCTCCATTTTGCAAAGGAAGGAAACTGAGTCTCAGAGAAGTTAAGGAAAATGCCCAACACGGAGATGGAGAGACGGGAAGGGACCAGGGCTCAGGGGTGGGCAGAGGAGGCCCCGGCGCCAGGCTGGGAGTCCTGGGCAGTGCTCACCTGCCTCCCCAGCTCGCCATCCTCTTCCTGGAGCAGCGCCACCAGCTTGCAGATGACGAGCTCCTCTAAGGGAAGGAAGGAAAGAAGGAAGGAAGGGTCACTGGCTGGTGTCCGGCCCCTGCTGGGGCACTGTCACCGCTCGCCGTCGATAAAGAGTTTGTTTTCTCTGCTGTGCAGCATGAAGATCGGTTACAGCCAGCACAGAAAACCCTTCCTTCACCTCAGACTTCGGTGTAGTTTGCCTCATAGAAGCAGAAGGGACTCTGGTCTGCTGAGCCTCACCAGTGCCCACAGTCAGCTCCATTTGACAGATGGGAAAACCGAGGCCTCCCCCCATCAGAAATGCAAGTCTGGAGTAGGAGCGGCTCATCTGGACAGAGGAGGAGACACCGTGTGGCCACTGACACAGGAGTGCGCCTCCTACCCGGGTTATCAGCCTGACTGGGTGTCTGGCTGCTCACACCAAGGCCACAGGAAATAAGCAGGAAATGTTCGCGTGGCCATTGCCAACTGTTGGCCCTTTGAAGTTGACCAAGTGGAAATGTCCCTAGCACTGAAATCTGCAGATGCTACAGACCACAAACACACTCCAGCTATTACCATGTACACGGTATGGTCACCAGACTGAACAAGCTAGGGTCTGGGTTTTTGGAGCAGGAGCTCACTATGTAGCCCTGGCTGGCTTTGAACTTGCAGAGATCCTCCTGCCTCAGCCTCCCAAGTGCAGGGATTCTAGGCCTGTACCCAGGAGGTTGGTGGACACAGACACGGCCCCATGCCTGGTTAGACCTGGGTTTTATATATACTGCAAGCAAACCCACAAGAGCATGCCCAGGTCCCCCCAACCCCCACAGAAGAGACAGGTGTCTCTACCTGTAACTGCCCACCCCCATCAGCCCACGGCACCTGTGCACAAGCAAAGTCCCCCGAGGGAAAGGGAGGTACTGACTAGATTCGTGTGCTCTCTCCGGCTGAGGTTCCCCATCTGGCGTACAACTCCTGGCCTGCGAGGCTGCTTCCGAGAACCCAGGTGTGGTCCCTTCTGTGGCCGAGTGCTCCTGGAGCTCCAGGCCTTCTGCGTCTGGGGCAAAAGCACCAATGTGAGCAACTGCAAGGACTCAGACCCTCCCATTCCGAATAGGGCAGTGAAGAAAACCAGGGCCACGTGTGAACACTTCCCTCAGCCTGCCCCGGCCTCACTTCCTCCGTCCGTGGGGGGAGTAGGGGAGCGGGGAGCCAGGCCCCACGGGCTCAGGACGGGACCAATGACACCCCCGTGGGACAGCGGGGTACAGCAGACACTCCATAAATGCCAGGCAGCCTCCATGACAGTGTGGTCGGACGCAGCCCCCAGCCACTCAGCCGGAGCAGAGACAGGAAGCAAGATGGGAAGCCCATCACCTCGGTAACCCCAGACCTGCTCACCAGGGCCACCAACACACAGGGGCAGGAAGCTGGACCTCTTGGATGGCCGGGGCTCGGGGGTGGCAGCCCCCACAGTCTCCGCTCTCCTGGGCTCCTTGGAGCTGTGTCTTTTATGAGAAAAGGCTCTCCGGAGGCTGCTGGGCTTTTTCTCCTGGGATTTCTTCTTGCAGGCCAGGGCCAGGCTTTCTCCGGCTGCCTCGGTCTCCTGCACCAGAGTCTGCCATGGAGAGAAGAGAAACTGAGTCAGGGAGCTCAGGAAGGAGCAGCACCGGGAGGGGCGGCGTGGACCTCTGAGGGCAGGGTATAGCGATGTCCCCTTCACCTGCTGTCCCTCCGGCTCCTCCGCACCTTGGAGCAGAGCGAGGATCTTCTGCATGAAGTCGTCTAAAACAGATGGGAGCGCTTAGTGAAGCTGTGTGTCTTTGGGTCTTTGTTTCCTACCACCCCGCGGCTTCTGGGGTCGGGGCCAGGTGTGGCCAGGGCTCCCTCGCCCAGCCCCTGGGGTGACAGACCACTGACAGGCAGCCCGAAGGCACAGCTGGCTTCCTGTGACTGTGTCACTTCCCCTTCCCTGACCTAAAAGACCTCCGGCCCCTTCCCTCATCACCAGGGACAGGGCCTTTCGTGTCCCCTTCGAGGAGCTGCCGGTGACAGTGAGTCTAGGCCGGGCTCTGCCAAGGATAAATCTTAAGGTGGCAGCTTCCAGGCTGGAGCCTCCCTCCTCAGCCCGGACCCCTCACCGGAGCCCCGACAACCCCAGGGAGGAAGTACTATGACCGGAAGCTGAGACCCTCGGGGAAGGGGCCTGCCCACGGCCGGGGGGTGTGAAGGGCTGAGAGCTCAGCTTGGGCCCCGGGCCCTCCGGTCACACTGTCTAACCTGCCCCTGCGCCCCCCTCACCTGCCGTTTGCCCCAAGCAGCACCTGCTGCCCCGACAATTGAGTCTCAGAGGGGCCCAGGCCTTCACCCTGGGCCTGTGCGCCCTCCTTCCTCAGCTTGCGGCCCACCGGCCCCTCCTTTCCCCTGACTCAGTTTCCCTTCTTCAAGGGGCAGTTCAGACCAGGAGTCTCTGAGGGAAGGACCGGCACTGACTGGGTTCCGAGGCTCTGTCCAGCAGCAGTCCCTCCTCGGGTCCCTGGCATCTGGTGCAGGTGGGGAGCTCCAGGGGACGGGGGCCATCGCCGTCGGCAGACAGGGCCTCATGGGCTCCGGGTCCTTCAGAGCCTGGCGAGCAGAACGAGCTCTGGGTGTGTCCGCGGGGCGGCCCTGACTGTGGAGGGCACCGAGACTGGACCACACCGAGGCCCTGCTGCATGGCCGGGCTGGTCAGTGTCCCCACCTCACCTCCCGAAAGCCGACAGTCCCGGTGTGGGCCGCCTGCAGGTGAAGAGCAGGTGCCTGTCCCTCTCCGCGCACCTGGACCTCTGCCCTGGACGTCGTGTCCCCTGGCCAGGACCACCTCCCCCTGTGACCCCTTCTCCCCGGCTCGGGCTCCACCACCTCCCCAGGCCTCAGCCGCCTCATGTGGAAGATGGGATAAGAACCTGCTTCCTAAGACGGCAGTGAGGACCACGGGACGTGGAAGTGTGGCAGGGAAAGGGGACAACGGCCCTCGCACACCTGTAGGACAGGGCCGCGGGTGCTGAGGGGTGGGGTGGCTGGGGCTCCTGATCACAGTCCCCACGATTCCCCGTGGGCGGCCTGGCCTCAGGGACAGTGTGGGGAGGTCACCGGCCCTTCTCCGGGCCCTGAGTGCGGCCAGTCCAGTCCCCGCCCAGAAGGCGCCAGAGAATGCAGTGTTGCTATGGCAACCGCCAGACCCAGCTCACCGGGGCTGCTGGAGGTGGAGAGCCAGGGGCCACGGATGCACAGGGGCAGGAAGCTGGGCCTCTTGGGCGGCCGGGCCTCAGGGCTGGGCACATGGGCAGCACGCGCTCGCCTGGGCTCCTCCGGGCCGCACTTCTTCAGGGAAAAGGCTCTCTTGACGCGGCCGGGCATTTTCTCCTGGGACTTCCTCCTGCAGGCTGGGGCTGGGTTTTGCAGCAGAGCTTCTGGCTGGGGGGCTTGAAGCTGCCGTGGGGAAGAGGAGGGAAACTGAGTGAGGGCCCCAGCCTCGAGGAGAGGACCCGGCCCTGCAGGCAAGAGGAGCCGAGCGCCAGCCCCAGGGGCAGCAGGAGGAGGAAGAAAATTAGGGGCTCCGTGGGTGGGACTCCTCACCTCGTCCTCCCACTGGTCCCCCACTTTCTTGAGGAGTTCCACGGTCATCTGAATGACAGCTTCCTCTGGAAGAGAGCACGGTGCCTGTCACTCAGCACTTTCTAACACCTCTCGGATCAGCCTTCCAACCTGTGCACCACTGACTTCCCTCAACTCTGCGTATCTGTGGGCATCTGCTGCAGGTCTGGGAGCTGTGTGACTTTGGGTAAGTCTCTTCTCCTCTCTGGGCCTTCGGCTCATCTCCTGGGGATGAGGACCCTAATCCCTGGGGCCTGGAAACACGTGTGAGGCTAAGCTAATCTTCCGAGCTGCGGGGCTCCAGGAGGGTACATGGGTCCCGTGCCTGGCCAAGGGGAAGTAGGGAAGGGTGCTGGCAGGTGTGAGCTGAGCACCCCGCAGCTACCCGAGGAGCCACAGACCACGGAGACAGCTTCTTTCGGTGCCCCTGGCCTCACCCAGCCTGCCTGTCTACACAGCAAGAGGCCCAGGTAAGATCCCCTGCCCCCGGCTGCCTGGGGTCCCTTCTGGCCTCATCCTGTCTGGCTTCTTGCTCTTTGGCTCAAACAGCTACCTGTAAAATAACGAAACGCCCTCCAGAACAGCTAACATCCTGTCTTGCAGTTATTATTTGACGGGAGCAGAGCTCCTCTACTTCCTCCCTTCCAAAATACAGCTTTTTAAAGACAGGGACTGGAGAAATACGCATTCTTACTGACTTATCAGGAGGGATGATGGTACCGTGGTTGTGTTTGAGGCTGTCCTTATTTGTTACGGATCTGTGTCTAAGTATTTAGAGAAGAAGGTTTATTTTATTCTGCAATGGTTCTGCAAAAATATCCATCCACACACAGGCAGCGAACTGGCAGGGAGGTAACGGTGCGGAGCCACACAAATGTGCACGGAACTATTCTTTCTGCTGTTTTGCGCGTTTCATTTTAGTGGTGCTGGACATCGGACCGGGGCCTCCTGGAGGCGGAGCTAGCGCTCTACCCCAGAGCCATACCCCAGTCCTTGCTCGTCCATATATTTTTAAAATAAAATACATTTTACAAGCGTAAAGACAAGGTTCCCGTTCCCAATGGCACAGAAGGCAGGAGCATTTCCCAGCAGCCTTTCCAGTTCCTCGGACCCCCTTCCGCGAGACCCTGAGACAGACGAGCGCGGTCCAAAGCAGCAGAGGCCAAGCAGGGTGGGGGCACGCGACAGCCACAGCCACAGCCACAGCCGGAAGACACGGGGCTCCACTCACGGTCGGGCGTCCTGGGCTCCTCCTCTGGCCGGGGCCCTGTGGCTTGGGCTTGGGGAGAGACATTCGAGAGCCCAGCCCGGGCCCCTGCAGAGCTGGGATCGAGTCCACCAGGAACACACGGAGGGGGCGTGTGTGTGTCTGGGCGACACTCTTCAGCCTGTCCATCTGCACGAGAAAGCAGCACAGAATTCAAGCGCCACAGGCACTGGCCTGGCCAGTTCTAAGCTTAACCAGAATTTAAAAAATTTTAAATCCCAGACATGCCAAGATTTTGATTCGAAAACAGGCCGCCTCACCCCAGGGACCCTCTCAGCTGCTCCCCGCCACCCCGGAGCCTGGCTCTTCCTGGAGTCTCCTCTTGACGTCACCGCACAGCGAGCTCCGCTGCGGGGCAGAGCTCTGTGTCCTCCGTGCGGCTGGGACCCTCACCCAGGACACGGGATGTCGGCTGGGAAGGCGCTGGGGACCAGATCGCCCGTGAACCAAGGCTCCGTGGGGCAGCCACCTGCTCATACTCACCCGGGAACGTGCACTGGCGGAGCTGTGTCTAGAACCATAGGGACCGGGGTGGGGACCCTCTCTCCCTGCCCCTCGCACCCCACCCCACCGCCCTACTTTTCACCGGCGCTCCTCAAAGTGAACACTACTTAAGAATGTAAAACACCATGCGCCGAGCGCTTTCACACGGGCCACGGCCACTGCGGGAGACGGCAACTGTTTCATTTCCGTTTTGTGGGAGGAAAAATGAACTGAGGCTCAGAGAAGCAAGGCCCCCAGTCCCAGCCACACGGCCACTGGGCAGTGGGACCTCCAAGTGTTTGGCCTCGCGCACTGGGCTGAGGTGCTGCTCTGCTTCAGACGAAGGCCCCCACTGGTCACCTTCCCTCTGTCGGGGGCACCCTGGCCCTCAGGCTGGGACGGTGCATCACCCCAGGGACTGCCAGTCTGCTCACCCCTGCAAACTGGGCCCCCTTCGGCTTCCTCAGAGTGCGAGGCGGCAGCCATCTTGGGCAGCCGGGCCCGGTGGCCTCCTGCGTCCCGGTGGTGGTTTCCCTTGGCTTCCTCAGCACCATGCTTTCTGTGACCACATTTTTTGTGGCCGGTCTTCTTGTCCTGGGCTTTCTTCCTGAGGACCAGCTCCTCAGCTGCCTCTGGGGGCTGTGGGGGTTCTTCCTTCCCCTTTGGTCTCCTGCTGGCCTTGTCTTTGGGCTCCTCAAAGCCTGTCCTCAGGAAGAAGTTCAGCATGGTCTTCAGCCAGCCCTGCTGGGCCTGCCTCTGGGCCTTGTCCTTCTTGGTGTCTGGTGGATGCCTCTGCTCACTGAGGACAAACCCCCTCATCTCCTCCAGAGTGTGGGCTGCAGCAGCCCCAGTGCCCTGAGCCCCTGAAGATGGGCTGGGGCTCTGGGCACATCCGGCCCCGTCGCTGATGGCCCGGCGGGGCGCCTTCCTGCAGGGCGTGCCAGGCAGTGAGAGGCACTGGCAGCCGGTCGACTCTGAGTCCTTCCTGGGGGTGTGCGACCTGTCCAAAGACTGGGCTCTCCGAGGGTCCCCCGGCTTCTCCATCTGGCTACAAGCAAAACAAACAGCTCCCTTAGGAGAGGCCCTCAGAGGAGCACAGCGCTGCTCTTGGCTCCTTTCAGTCACTAACACTCACTTTGGACTCACGGCTCCAGAACTAAAGATAACCGATCTGTGTTAGTTCTACCCACTTAGTGGGATTTTATTACAGCAGCAATAGGAAACTCATGCCCTGGAGCCGGAGACACCTTCGCTCATCTTGTGGCTTTGGGAGGCTCATGCACCTTGGCTGGCCCAGCGCCTCCAGCCGCTGTACTATTTCCTGGGACCGCTCAGGGACCGTGAACGCCCAGGCCAAAAGCAAAGTGGTGCCCGACTACTTCCTTCCTGTCAATCCCACCTCCGACCCATCGGCAAAGTCTGCTGGCCTCACGTCCCAAGCGTGTCGCCTGCCGCCTCCACCTCCATCTAGGCCTGGCGGTGCGCCCATGGCCGTCTCCTGCTCTCCTTTCCTCTCAGCAGCCATGGGGGCTTTCAAAGCACACGAAAGGGGGTCATTCTCCTGCCTCCTCGGGGCCCCTTCCACTCAGAGTCCAAGGCTTTCCAGAGGCCAGCAGACTCCTCGTGGCCTGGCCCCGGATTCCACTCACTCACTCCTCTCACTGTGCTTCATCCCTGCTCCCCCTCAGGGCCTCCGCTCCGACCAGAATGTTCCAGAATGTTCCAGAATGTTCTAGAACATTCTCACGGCAGCCTTGCGGCTTGTTCCTTCACTTCCTTTGGAGCTCTGTTCAAATGCCTCCTTCTCCCTCCCCTTTCAGCTTCCATTAATGTACTCTTCCCACTACTGAGCCTCCTAATGTTATAATGTCACACTTTGTACGTTCGAGCGTTAATTTCTGAGCTGCGCTCTCTCCCCTCTGTTTTACTAGGCCTCATCCCCTGAAAGCCCCGGACAACGCCTGGCACATGACCGGCGTACAATAAGCACCTACTAAACCAATGACTGGAAAATAAATAAATAAATAAACATAAACCAGTGACGGCATGGGCAACACCAACAGTAAACTGTGCAGCATGCAAGTGGCTTAACGTGGGACAAATATACTCAGGCTACTCCAACCTCAGCGCATTCAGGGTCCTGAGAAGGAGCTGCCAATGGACTGACCACCCCGCCAAGCTGGGAGCACCTGGAGCAGGCACTAAGCTTTGCTTGTGTGTCTTTCATCTGAAACTCCTGCGGCTTTCTAATTTTTCCAAATGTGTTCAGAAGCCCCCCACCTTTTTTGGTACCGGGGATCTATCTCAGGTCCTTGCACTTGCCAAGCAGGCGGCGGAACCACTGAGCTAAATCCCCGGCCCCAGAAGCCTTTTGACAGAAAAGAAGAGAGAGAAATTAAATAAGGCTCTGAATCCCAAAATGCGAGCTCCCAGAGATTCCTGTGGAGTCTGGGTCCCCATGTCATCTACTCCAGTTTGACATCACAGCTTTCCCGTGTCCTGACTGAGGGGTATTTCAGGGTGTGGGTGTACGTTATGCATATAAATTGTATCCCCTGCCTTGACCAGCTAATGTGTTCTAGGATGTCCAGCACAGGGGCAAAATAAGCACCTGTAATTGCAATTTCATACAAGGTATGGGGGTGTGAGAAAGGCAGATAAAGAGTAAGAAAGAGCCCCCACTCAGGCACGGTGGTGCACTGGATCTCAGCAGGAGGCTGAGGCAGAAGGATTGCCGCAAGTTTGAGGCCAGCCTGGTCTACAGAGCAAGTACAAAACCAGCCTGGGCTACATAACAAGGCCCTGTCTCTAAGTAAGTAAACAAATAATAGGAAAAACACTTTTCCCTACAGAGAGATTCAAAGGTGTCACAGGACACCTCCCTCCCTCCTTCTGGCCCCCGTGTGGGGAGGATGGACTGGACAGGGCTGCAGCTCGGGGTGACCAGGCAGAGGCCATCGGGTGCCAGCAGTGCTGCTGGGTGACTGGCACAGACGACCTTGGAGGAAAGGTCAGGCGGGGAGAAGGTGGCAAATCAGAAGGTGGCATCTATTGTCTGATGTTTGCTAAGAGGACTGGCTGCACGGCACAGGAACCTCAGCGACCCACGTTTGCACTCTTGAAAGCCTCGGAGCCTGGCTGTGCTTCCAAAATGCAGCACGAGCCAGACAAGAAAAGCATAGAGGGAAATATCTGCCTTGGGCCCTGTTGTTTCTTTCAGCAAATGTTTCCTAAGCACCCAGCATGCACCGGGAATCATGCTTGGTGCTGGGGATCTGGACGTGAGCTAGACACGTCTGAGAGACTATGCTGGCCTTCGACAGGAGACCGGGGATGCTGTCAGCACTGCCCACAGAATGCTCCATCCCCGTCTGCTCTCTTTGTAGCAGCACAGTCTTAAAAGAAGATAAATTTAGGTTTGCAGAAGTATTTGATTTGTTCTGTTCTGTTTTGTTTGTTTTTTGAGACAGGGTCTCTCAACATAGCTCAGGCTGGCCTTGAAATCACAGTGATCCTCCTGACTCAGCCTCCTGAGTGCTAAGATTACAGGTGTGTACCAGCACACCTGGCTGAGCGCTATTTGATTTTTAAGGTCAAAGTGAGCCGAGCCAGAGCTATTTACAAAACAGTGTTTCAGAGAGTCAGGGAGTTGGAGCACCCTTGCCCGGCTAAGGGGAAGAGAGGTGCAGTGATCTTTCAAGCTGCCATCACCATGGAAACCATTTTTGCCAGTATAGTATCCTCCTACTGCCTTCAGAGAATATGCCACACTTTTGCTCAGAGTGGTAAAACAGCTCCACCACCAAAGTTTTCCCCGGCTTATTTGCTTCGGATCAGATAAATGTCCATGTTCCAGGTTCTCCCAGTTCCCTGTTGGTCCATTCCTGATGGCTTTTCAAGAAAACTGCCTGGATTTAGTCTCTCCCTCCTTAGAACAACCCGTGACCTGACCCAGCAGAGGTGAGAGAAGCTAAGAACTAGAGCCAGGCCCAGGAGCTGCTGCTGCCCCAGAAGCAGGGAGGAATGGCAATCCTCCTGCCTCAGCCTCCCGCAGGCTGGGATTACAGGTGAGAGCCGACACATGCCTGGTTTAGAGGAGACTTAGTAGGATCCACCTTTTCCACTCTACATGGCCACAATTCAGTCTGAGTGTTCTGAGTGTAAAATTCTGCTTAGCCAGGACTCAGCAAAGTAACACTTTCTTTCTCCTTCCTCTTTTTCTTGTTTTGGGTCCAAGTCACTCAGCTCGACTCGGGAAATCCCCACTGCCCTGGCCAGTCCTGCTTGGAAACCAAGCTGACCTTGTAAACATGTTTATTGCCTTGGCCGAAAGCAGATTCCCGAGCAAAGTCCAAATCATCCCAGAAATCCCCGGTGACCTGCAGGTCACAGGACTCCCAGACATGACGTCATGCCAGCCAGGCAGCGGCAGGAGGCCTCGGAGCGGGAAGGTCACCCAGTTTTCCCGAGCACGTGGCTGTTTGTTTTCTTTGCTGCACTGACCTCACCTGTGGGCCATTCTCCAGCACCGCACTCGGGCCCGTTCCGCTCACCGCATGGCCCTGTGTCCTGCTGATGTCACCGCCCCCTCCACCCGCCCTCCACACAGCGGGCAGGGCGGTAACACCGTGGGCTGCTCCGAGGGACAGCATGCGAGGCACACGCGTGTGGACTCATGCACACACGCACACACAGAGCAGAGCTGCGGCTGTCTGCTGGCAGAGACCTGGCGCAGTCACACATCCTCGTGTCCCCAGGCACAGGCACCTGCACCCCAACCCTCACCCCCCTGGCCCCGAGGGACTTCAAGGCCAAGACAGGCCCGGAGTGGGCGCCGGGGGTCAGCTTGCCCATGACACTGCCCTCTCCTCAGCTGTCTCCCAGGTGCTCGACGGAGACAACGCAACAGGCCACCTCTGTCTCCTGGGCCCCTCACAGGCTCCTAGGAGGAGACCCCTAAGGCCCTCGATCTCCTGCGCTGCGGGAATCCTTGGGGCTTGTCACCCCTCCAGCAGGACGGGCTGCAGTGCCGGCCTGGATTTAGGGGCTGCCCGCCCTCGGCTGAGCGCAGGCCGGTGATGAGCAGCTCTCACACACCCAGCAGAGGCCACCTTGCCCCGGGGATGTTGGACCCTGGCGGTCCCTGTCCCACTTTGGCACCGGTGGACCCACAGAGGACTCCGGATCCACCTGACCTCTCCCTACCCGAGGCCGCAGACAGGGCCACGCCACGCGCTGGTCCAGCCCTGCCGCGGGGGCCCCGTGGAGGGAAGCGCAGACCACCAGAGCCGCCTTTATAAAACCTCCCTGTCCTTGAACCGACTTCCAAGCACCTCAGTGACCGAAGCCTGCACAGCCACAGGCGATCACAACGCCTTCCATCCACCGGCTCCACGGCGAGTTGTCGCCGGGAGAAGTAGAGTGCTGACCCCAGAGGACTGAAAGGAGAAACTGAGGCCCAAGGACGCAAAATGCCCTGCTCAGGGAAGGGGCTGAGCACAGGTGTGGGCTGGAGTTCAGAGGTTTAACCCAAGTCAGCTGTGAGCTGTTCCAGGGTGTGCAGTAGGGATCTCATCGCTGCGTCTGGCTCCATCACTGCAGATGGGGAAACTGAGGCCCAGGGAGCACCTGGCAAGCTAAAAGTAGGACTGGGGGTCGGGCCCAGGGTCTGATTCCTAGGTATCCTTTCAGGATCCCGAGATACCTACCCACTCCTCCAGCCCCTCAAGAAAGAGGTAGCGGGTCACTTACCCTGGAGCACGGAAGTCACTCCTGTGCAGGGACACGTGGGCCGGGGTCTTCGGATCAACGGCTCCTGGTCGGGCGATGCCCCCTGTTTGCCAGAAGCTGGGCCCTGGGAGGGGAGACCCCACTCTCCAAGGGACAAGATGCTGCCGGTGCCGCTATGTCTCGGGACCCTTTGGGTCTATATGAGGTCGGGGGAGAGTCAATCAGGAGTCAGGGTGGGGCAGGTCTCCGCCCTGCAGGGCTGCCCGCCCCACCTGATAGGAGACTTAGCTCAGCCACCCTGGAAAGCAAACAGTTTCAGTTGACAGCTTCCTTATTGCACCCAGGTCCCTATAAGAAACCACGGCTTAGAAAACAGCCCTGCACCTGGCCACCGCCGGCCCCCACCTTCCCTGTGTTCTCTCTGAAGATCGGCAGGGACGGGCAGATGGAGAAAGAAACGTTACCGCAGAACACGCACATTTCTGGGCCTGGGGGCAAAGCCTGCTTGGAAGCTGGTTTTCAGATCCTGCCACCCATGGGCAGAGTAGCCAGGACTCTAGAGAGAACATCCTAAAAAGCCTTAAAAAGTCTAATTTTCACCTTCTATAGTGTCTGCCTTTTTTTTTCCTTTTTTTGGTACCAGGTATAAAATTTGGGACCTTGTGCTTTCGAGACAGGCACAGTGCCACTGAGCTACATCCCCAGCCTGCATTTTTTTTTTAAATTGAGCTTATTGGTACATTTGAGGCACACAGCACAGTTACATTCATTATTGGGATCTTGTACCCCTGCAGGACAGGTCTTGGTTCAGCCTGCATTTTTTTTTTAAAGAGTACCTATCTAGCCAGGTATGGAGGTGCACACCTGTAATCCCAGTAACTTCGGAGGCTGAGGCAGGAGGATCGTATATAAATACAAGTAAGAGTACACACCTGTTTCCAAAAATTCAGAGGAGAAAAATAGCTTTATTTAAATAGAAGCAAAACGTTAGTCAGAAATCTGCTTTGAGTCACCTGACGCTGGAAGGAGCTGTCAAATACACAGGGACACACTGAGCAGGCAGAACGTCTGTGAGCTCCTTTCTCACTTACAAAACAGACAGTTATTTGATCAGATAACTGCGGCAGGGCCAGACAGGAAACGCTTATCA